TATTTGCTTCAGGCGTTTGTGAACTATTACGTGTGGATAATCCCTCTGGTAGCCTTGTCTGTAGAGTTATTAAGGTCTTAAGGTTATTAGGTGCCAAAATTTTAATGTCAGTAAGGATTGTGGCTCCCACATCAGATTTTTAAAATCTGATCTCGCTATTATTTAGCAGCAGTCTAGCTTATTTTGCAGCACGAATTCTAGATTTAGCAGCAAAATATATCATTAGTTATTTTAATGCAAACATGGCTCCTCAATCTAAACGTTTGAATTGAGGAGCCACCTAGAACCCGTTAAGTAATGATGTCATCTTTTCATAATTTTTTTTTGTCTACGTTATTATTATTGTCTACTTTAAAATTAACATTTCACATTAACCTTTACTTACTGGTTAAAAGGCGGTTTGTTTCCTTTTGGACATTCAATACTACATTAATACTCTACAAGAACGAGCTACCTACGTGATACATTTTCACCCATAGGACCTCCATACTTTTCATCTAACTTTTTAACGATATAAGAAATTAAAACTGACTGCCTCGTTTCTCAATTGGTCGCAAGTCCGACTGCCAGGCAAGGGGTCTCAGGTTCGATTCCCGGGCCGGGCAAAGTATTGCTGAGATTTTTTTTAACTCAATTTGTAGTAGCACGGAATTTGAAATTGTGCCCGGAATATGGCAATAGGCTCACATCTATTACACGGGACTCATAAAATAAATAATGAAAAGTGGGTGTTACATTGTACAGTGGCATAATGTGCATTTCTGCCTATACCTTCAGGGATAAAAGGCGTGATATTACGAATGCATTATGTATGAAAGAAATCAAAAACCTAAAATTCTGTTTGTGTTTCACAAGGTCTGTGATCTATTGCGATAAGTTCTGTAACTAAATTATTATTCTTTTGTACTCACTTGCATCTCACCAGGGTACCTCCTCTGGTCGACTGTGTGGTCGCTGCCCTCCATCATGTCAGCACCCCAATGGAAATGTATTTGTGACAGCACATGCTTCTCCAGAAATGGCCCACCTTCCAAATATGGACGTTCCGTTTTCCATTTTGGTGATATTACCACTGGAGAAATATATATTTATGTATTTTACTTTGTTTATTATTTACATTACTACTGAGTTTTAAAGAAAATCTTAGTAGTAGCCGGAGTCTGGAATTGTGCCCGGTATAATAATATGGCAATAGGCTCACCTCCTATTACATGGGACTCATAATATAAATAGTGAAAAGTGGGTGTTACACTGTACAGTGGCATTAACTGCCGTAATGTGCAGGTCTGGCTTCGGGGATAAAAAAGTGTGATGTTATGTTAATTAACATTGTTTATAACGAACAAAAGGGGGTTCTGTCATCTGTTGCTTACCAGATAGCCACAATCTAGCATGAGGTGATTTTTTACAACGCCATAGTTATTAAGAATTGATTGATTTCTTATACGCTTATCAAATATATTTTATCGACTATCACTAAAATAACATTCGCGGAGAACCTAACGGGTTACCGGGGCTCCGGCTCGAAGCGCAGGAGAAGGAACGGGGTGGTTTTTAGTCAGTAAGAGTCTGACACTCCCTCATCCAGGCAGGAGCAGTTAATCAATGATTTTCCCCCCTTAAAAAAATCACTAAAATAACAATTTGAAGCGCATTAAAAACCCATTTTTATTAACTTTTTTGTGTAATAATAATCACTGTCTCGACTTATCATTATCATCTTTCATCCTTTGATAGAATTATGGAAGCGAGAAATTATTTCGTCGGTATTTTTACCCGAAGATTATTTCTGGGAATATGGCGAACGAAAAATTAAAAGCTTGATATAAGAATATGATGCGGGTAATTTGTATTCTTCCAAAGAATGTTTAATAATTTATTTACCAGAAGTATTTGTAATTAACTGTTAAACCTTATATTAAATTGAAGATAATATTATATTTCACTCTTAATATTATTCATATCAAGGTAATTTTGGGTTACAGGAATTATAACAATATAAAATTCAGCAGCTCGTAACAGTATATTATTGAACCTATGGTGAGAAAAAAGAGAAAAAGAGCTCTACTTCGGCACAAATGGGCCCCTTCGACTGGAGTGATACAACGGCCTCACAGAAAACTGACGTGAAGCAACGCTTGCGTCCTGTTTCGTCGTGTGAGTGAGGTTACCGGAGGCCCAATTTTCGCCCTTTCCCCAATCTCCCCAATCCCTGAATCCCCGACGTTGCTCAAATTTCAAATCCCCAAAAGGCCGGTAACGCACTTGTAATGCCTCTAATGTTCCAGGTGTCCATGGGCGACGCCGATTGCTTACCATCAGATGATCCGTCTGCTCGTTTACAGGCTTATTACATAAAAAAGCAAAAAGAAAAAGAGGTTAAAATTTATCAGAGCGCTACCGTACTACCTATAAACTAGGTATCTGTCAAATACCTAGTCTCTTAGGTTGGTACTCGTTAGTAAGACACCCGTAGAGAAAATGGGGGAATAATTAAAGAAAATTATTCTAGTTTGCCGGCACCTACTACCTATGAGGTATAGGTACAAAAATTTGCAACTAGAATGAAGTGAATATGCCTTAGATGAAACTTAGCCACCCAAAAAGTCTACATACCAATAAAATAATAAGCAAGACGTTATTTATAGGTATTTGAGACGCTATTGTTGCGTCCATCATGTTTGGTCAGTCCGACCTGGATCCCGTAATTACATGTTGCCAACATAAACACGATAAGCGCACTATACCCAATTCTGTATAAGCAATTCACTCAGGATTTAATCTAATGAACGATTCGTATTCCATAGACTATTAATCCGGGGTTCAATATCAGCCTCGCATGAATGGATCTTCTGTGGCCTATTGTTGTATATTGTGTATGTATGTAGTATTTGTTTTTGGTAATGACGTCATAGGAATTGTGTGTGGGGGAAAGGATAACTTGATCTCATATCTATTATCTTGAGAAGTCAAAGGCCGGCAACGCACCTGTGACTCCTCTGGTGTTGGACACCCGTCCATGGGTAGCGCTGATCGCTTACCATCAGGCGATTCGTCTGTTCGTTTGCCTCCTAAACCATAAAAAAATTCTAAGGTGTACATCTGTACTTATGTTAAAATAAATAAATACATTAACAACCGACACCAAAACACTGCAAAAGATCAAGCTGTCGAACCCATTTTTAAGCAAAACAGGACCCTCATAAATAAAACGAATAAATCACGCACATTTGGCAATACGATTCCTTTCTAGAACGATCCATGAACCTTCTATGTCACTCATCACTCAAGCCTTTATTCCCTGAAGCCAGGCAGTATGTTAGTAAATGTCCATATTATACAAACTAGCTTGAAGCAGCCTGTTAGTTAGGACCAAAGGTTGAAAGTAATTGTTTAGAACGACTAGGGCACGTAGGCATAATAATTAACGACATCAGTCTGCCCTGTAGGCAGTTTTGTCCCAGTAACATGACTATACAGTTAATTAAAGTTTTAGGCAACATCTACGGGTTTGTTAACTGGGTCGCGAGTTGTTGTCCATAGTAGTACTTCATTGTTTTTGCTGTTTTGCAATTTGTAGATGATTCATTGGTATATTGAAAATAAGCCAAGATCGAGGTTTAGTTTTAAGTTCACATGTTGGTTACTCGCATTTTTCTTCATTAAACTATGAATCACTGTGTCATCGAGTCCGGGGTTGTGTGCATCTGGTATAGCAGTAGTAGCACGGAGTTTGGAATTGTACCCGGTATATGGCAATAGGCTCACCCCCTATTAAATAGGACTCATAATATAAATAGTGAAAAGTGGGTGTTACATTGTACAGTGGCATAAGTGCCGTAATGTGCACCTCTGCCTACATGCCTATAAAAGGCGTGATGTTTTAAAAAAGTATTGTTTCAAGGATTTCAGTGATTGTTTTGATAATTAGATATGAGGGGAAATTAATCATGTATCAGACAAATAAAAGAACAGAGGCCTTAGTACAACTTTGATTTAAGTTTAAAGTATTCGAAACGAGTACGCGTTCGGCACTCTGATTGGCCGGCGCCAATGAACCAACCAATCAGTACTAACAAACTCGTACTAAGGCCTCAGGCGGTAACAGTATTCACTTACAAGTGTATCCAGTATTAGTAAGCTTCACTTTGTGAGGGTACACATCAAAATTGTACCACTTTAGTTCTGGACATCTGTAGAGCATAGATCCTGTAATGGATACATCTATTGGGGTGGGAAGATGACCTTCAAATTCATGCCAGTACTGAATCCACTCTATTGTTCCTTCGTCAGGTACAACAATTTGAACTACCTCTTCAACTGGGTTTTCTTCATCAACTACAAAACAAAGAATTGTTGGTGAACAGATTAAAGGAATATTCAAGTAGTAGTTATTATTTTGAAAGTTTAAAGTTTCTTCATGATGATTTAAACGTAGATTCTTCATTAATATCATCATCATCATCAGCCGGAGGATGTCTACTACTAGACAAAGGCTTCGCCAATTTTGCATCCAATGGGTCCTAACATATTGTAAAATCAGCGCATTTAGTTTTGATGTGTGATATATTAACGTAAGATGAATGTGTAGTGAGTTGTGTTAGTGCAGAACTCTGATGTATGATAGTAATGCAAATAAATAAACAAGACAAATTTACGTAAGTGAACTGGAAGTATTCGACTGGACATTGTGGAAGATTCAACTGAAATTTGGTTAAAACTTCTTACTGTAATATTTTACAACATGTTTTTAGATTGCATGAATTTGGAATAAAGTGTGAAACCAAAAATATTATAATTTACATCGAAAGTACATGACAAATGTCACAATGTCACGTCAACATGCTTTCTAATGAGTATAGATAAGTTATTTCATCTAAAATGGTTTGGATCTTGAGCATAGATTTATAAATAGGTAAATGGCATAAAACCGTTTTATAAATTTGTCAACTTGACAACTCTAGAAAACGACATGATTGTGTAAAAATTGGTGTTATCCCTGTCGTTTGTTGCTTTCTTCGAAATAAAATTTTATACAAATTACCCAATCATTAAAATGAGGGAACAAGACGATGATGGCAATATACCAATTCATAAGCGGCCAGTTTTACCAGACCGGGTACTACAAAAATGGGAAAAATGGATTCAAATAAGAAAAGATGAGGCAATTTCGCTTGGGAAGAGACTGCATAAACCACCTGCGGATCTAACAATGAATTTACTTGACAAAGTTCGTCATGATAAAGAACGCAAAATAGCATTGGAACATGCTCAGATTGAAAGAAAAACTGGTGTAAGGGGATCTTTATGGGAACGACCCCAAAAGCTGAAGCAAAGATGTCCTTGTGAGCCAACCTATGAGCTTCATAGAACAGCTGCTGAGAAAGGTCGTCCAAGGATATTGGAACATGTTGGAGTTCCTGATTACATTCAGCAAACCGAAATGGGAATAATCGGCGAGTCTGTCCGTAATCCTTGCACTCATTTAAACGCTGAGTATGAAATGTACAGAGATTACCGTGAAGGACAGCTTACTGAGAAGTTGAAGAAAATTGACCCTTTCAGGTGATTAATAACTTACTTTTCACTTGTACCTCGATTTTATTTTTAATTAAATACTTCAAATTTTTAAAGGAAAATATTTTTTTTGTGATCTTTTTTGATTTTTCTTAAGTTGAATCTCTTTTTCAGGCCAGATATAGACAATTTAATAGTCAGGGGCAGAACTCCTTCACCACCACCCAAAAAATACCCTGTACTTCCAGAAATTGTTATTAAAGATGATGATGATCTTCCTGGAGAACCACTTAATGCAGTATATGCTTTAAAAATCAATAATACAGTATTCTACAGGCCAGTGCCTGGACACGGTCTTTTTCACGTTCCAAAGTTCCAAGAAGATGAAAATCATGAGGAATGCTCTACTTGGACCTATTATTTTAATGTCCCTGCCAAAAGAGCTGGTAGGTGCAAGCTGACTATGGAGAATCTTGGAACCGTAACTATAAGGTACTGTTGGAAAAAAATCAAACGAAATATACCTTTCATACCTGAAGATACATACGAACAAGTATTCTTTTTTAATAAAAATGAAGACATAATATCGCCTGGTCAGACTAAAGAAATAGCTTTCACATTTATAGCTGACAAAGCTGGTATTTACAGCGAATTCTGGGAAATAAGTTTGTGTAATATACAATTTTTTAATAAAATGACCATAAACTTGTACGCTGACGCGGTTGAAAACGTGAAGATGATAAATAAAAAAGTTCGGGCTCTCAAAAAAGAGATTAACAAGAAGGCGACGCTTAACATGGCAATTAGTTTTATTGAGACAGCACTCGATAACGTTTTCGAACCATCGCCACAATTTGAACCGTACCCGTATAAGAAATACTTTGTGGAATCAGAACTCTTTGTTTTACGTAATCCAATGTGCTATTATCATCAAACAGAAGTGGGCAAAATGAAAGAACTGTACACAGAAATGCTGCCAGATAAAGAATGGGACCTATCGATATCTACTTGGAGAGAGGTGATGATGGCAAAAGATTACGAAGATAGAATGAAATATTATCAGTTGCTGCGTCTATCTCACTCGGAATGCTTGAAACCTTGGACTGAGGGCGATGGTGTAGAGAAAGAAAAATTCCGTACAATACAATGTTTGTTTGGACAATTTCTTGATTTGTTCGATTGGGAATTTACTCGTATTACAAACTCTTTTGTTTTTAAGCCACCAGAAACCAGATCATCGTTGCGTAGGCCTAAAAGTAAAACTATTGCTATTGATCCGATTACTGCCCAAATGTTACGAAATGTTTTTTACTTGAGGATGTACGAACATTTCTCCTGTTTCATAGAGTTGTGTGCTGGAGTACTGAGCAGCTTAGATTTGAACAGATGGATCGAATTTGATTTCTGTCGTCATCTTGATTAGGTGTTATTTGACTAGGCCCATTCGAAAAGTTTATTTTCAATTGATTCAGTTTACTTTCAACGTTTCTTTACTTTAACAAAAAAAAATATGAACTGTTATGTTAATTCTTTGTTCTGTAAATAGTACCTACTTTATTATGCTTCATAGCTGTATTAATTTCATCTTAACATACTTATGATATTTAATAATAAAGGCGAAAACTAAAGATTTTTTGTTTAATATTTGTATTTGACTGCCGCGGGTTCGTTTCCCGCACGGAATAACTCTTTGTGAGATCCATAGATTGTTTGATTTATAAACTTGTATGTTTGTAAACGCACCCACGACATAGAAGAAACAGCTAGGGGGGCAACGTTTATTAACTTGTCGAGTACCATCAGTATAGGCACAATTCAAGAACAATAGGTTTTTTTTTTTTTTTTAAGGGGGGAAAATCATCGAATGACTGCTCCCGCCTGGGTGAGGCGGGAGGGAGTGTCAGACTCTTACTGACTAAAAACCACCCCGTTCCTTCTCCTGCACGTCGAGCCGGAGCCCCGGTTACCCGTTAGGTTCTCCGCGACTCCGAATCGGCATCGGCCCTATTGGGCCCCATCTGTGGTGGTCTGATGGCTCTTTGAGGCGCGCGCGGAACGCGACGCGCCGTACGTTTGGGGGTATATTTAGAGTAAATACAAATAGAAACGGTTAAATATAAGGTATCAATATCTCTATTATAGTAACTTTGGTAATTTTTAATGTCATTAATTATATACTTGTATTTATGTCCCGTATGATTTTCACTCTTTGGCTGTCACAACTGCCTCGTTGGCCGAGTGGTCGCAAGTGTGACTGTCGGGCAAGGGGTCTTGGGTTCGATTCCCGGGCCGGGCAAAGTATTACTGGGTTTTAAAAAATCCTCACTAGTAGCACGGAGTCAGGAATTGTGCCCGATATATGGCAATAGGCTCACCCCCTATTACATGGGACTCATAACATAAATAGTGAAAAGTGGGTGTTACATTGTAGAGTGGCATAATGTGCACCTCTGCCTACCCCTTCGGGGATAAATGGCGCGATGTTATTTTAATGTCATATTCAAGTCGCGGGCAACAGTTAGTAGCTAATATTTAGACAAATCTTCTCGTAGGAATATGCCAACAAAACTTTATAATTGAAGTGTCACTACTTTTCTCAGACACTTTTATGATTACTTAAACTATTCCATAAAAGTGTCTGAGAAAAGTAGTGACACATAAAGATGTATGTCCGGAATAATCTCAAAAAGTACTGCATGGATTTACTTCAAATTTTGCATGAATATTATTAGTAATTCGGGTCAACATGTAGGCTACATATTATCACGCTATCACCTACGGGACTGAATCAATTCTGACGACATTCATTACCGTAGAATATCCCTTGATAAAAAAATAAAAAATAATGCAAATAAATTCTGCTAGAATTCATTTTTCTACGTAAGTAAGAGAATACAAATAAAACAACAATATTGTAACATAATAACAATATAATAAAACATATTTTAGAGCTTCGACTTGACTTGCTTGACGTATATGACGGAATGACCGGGTGGATGCCGCTGTGTTGGTCGCACGTTGCGTTCGATCGGTATGCTGTCGGGACCCTCCAGTTGTCTTAGGAGACCCAGCTGTGAACATAGAATTACAGATTATAAAATGGCTGGAAAGAGGCAGAAGTCTTAGTGCTTTTAAGTTATCGGTTTTTTGGTATGGTACAAAGACTGGAAAGGACTTACTGGATCTGAAAATTCATACATTATGATAATTTTACACATAAATGAGGAATATTAAATAAAAATTTTATTACAGCCAAACTCACAGTACCAATAGACTTCGTGGTTGACTATTAAAATTACCAGCCAAGGATAATTAGGTCCATAAGACTTTATTTCTTTAAGACGGATATGATATCTCTCAAGAATGGACTAAAGTTTTGCTCAGCATTGTGTTATGTTATCTTTAATTTTGTTAATGTAAAAGAAAATAAGTCTATTATCATCGAAACACTATAGAAGTCCAATGTCTTGGTAAACAATGCTTGCGTTGTGTTTCGTCGTGTGAGTGAGGTTACCGGAAGGCCCAATTACCCTCCCTTTGCCCAATCTCCCCAATTCCTGAATCCTCAACGATCCTCAAACTCCTAATCCCCAAAAGGGCGGTAACGCGCTTGTAACGCCTCTGGTGTTCCAGGTTTTAATGGGCGACGCCGATTGCTTACCAACAGGTGATCAGTCTGCTCGTTTACCGGCTTATGCCATAAAAAAAAACAATACCTGTTCGGTACCAATGTGCACGGGTTTCTCGTATATGATCCAAGTGACGCACTCGGTGTATGGCGGTGTGGTCAGCGAGCCTTTGTATGTGACATAGTTGCCTTCCTGTAGGTCATCGCTGTCCATCCATGACAGGGATTCTGGAAAAACAAAATTACATCATTTTGTTAATAAGATACCGACAGTAGTTAGTGCAAGAAAATTCATAACTGCTATTTAACGCGTTGAGGGTCAAATTCTAAACACCAAAAACTATGATAACAGGTTTAAAAAAATTCTGGTACCTATCAATTTTAGCCGCCTGTGGTGAATGCAAGATAATACTGATTCAGTATCAGTTACACTAACAACAGTTCAAGTACTATTCCAATAACAATTACTTGATTTCAATTTCATCGTAAAAATACTCAAATCGACCCAACAAATAAAGAAAGCTTATGTCGACTACCAACTCTATTTATATCCCGCCCTTACATAACATCAAACAATCGATCCAAACAATGTTTCTTCAATTTTCCTCGTGTAATAACCACCCACATAAAACTCATTCTCATCTATGTATTAATACGTGAAGAGAAAACTGTGTACCTCTTTCTTAAGTATACAAATATGTACCTACATATAGTACAATGAGGGTTCAGTTTTTTATGGAGAAGTGTGAAAGGGTTGCCATGTTATGATACAATGTTTGCATTAACGAGTGCAATATGCTTTTACATAAATACTAACAACATTATCAACGATGCGACGATAGGCGAATATCTTTTCAAGATATCGGAAAAAAGGAGTAAGTATGCTTGTCTTTCTAACAAAATTTACATCTTTTAGTAGAACGAAGAGCGAAGATTTAACACCATTTCCTGTTATTTGAAAAGTATTTAAGGTAAAACCTATAGTCTTACACCTGATTCTTATTCGGTCATGGCATTTTTTTTTTGAGCGGATAAATCATCCAATGGCTTCTCCCGCCTTGGGTGATGCGAGAAGTAATGTGACTCTAAATCACCTTTTGACTAAAAACCACCCCATTCCTACCTCTGCTTTGAACCACGAGTTACTGAACCCGTTGAGTTGTCCATTCAGCTCTGGACATTCGGTAATGATATGTCGAATTACTATACCATAAATTCCCATAAATGAGGAAATAGAGAATCATGCATTTGTATGTGGTTCTCCTTCGATCTGTAACTGATCGACGTCGACTTAATTAACATGGTTTGACACCACCTGTTTGTTTGTCTCCAGCCCCATAATGAAACTTGTCCTCTATCGCATGTGTAGTTTTAGATTAGTCTAATTTAGTAATTTTCTGTTTGCAAAGTTTAAAATAAAAATACTAATAAGAGATTTTATGGCTTGGCAAACTGGTTCATCACTAACCTGAAGTAACTCTAACAGACTGTTCACTCTTCTTGATTCTTTCAAATCCTTCGACAAGCCTGTCGAACCTTGGGTTTGGAGCATCAACAGCTTCTAGAAGGAATCCCACTACTGCTAAACCATCAGGATGTCCTACCGCCGCTTCCATTGATTCGTATTTACTGTTATAGTGTACGAAGTGGCATTCTGCTGCATATCTGAGAAAAAAAATCATGTTTAATAATATAATGTTTTTCTTAATCTACAGCATGTATTAAAAAATATATTAATGTTATAAATACGAAAGTTTCTATATTTATGAAAACGGCTGAAGGAACTAGTATGAGATTATAAACAGATGGTCTAGAATAACACATAGGGTACTTTTTATTCCATGGGAACACGGCCAAAGCCGCTAGCGGAAGCTAGTTACCCATGTTTATTCAAGGCCATCGCCTTGAAACATACAAACTGAATAGTGTTCTAAGACTCAGTGGAGTACGAGATAAATAAAACTATTAATTAATTTATAACACACTCACCCTTGTCCATCTAATAAGTGTTCACAGCCAGAGAAGTCGTCGACAGACCAATGGAAGTGCATTTGTTCAAATACGTATTCGCCGATTAGAGGTCCACCCCGAAGGATTGGTCGGACTTCAGATTCAAATGTGAAGTATGCTGTAACAGTACATTAACGATTTATCCTACTGATTAATATTATAGATGAAAAAGTTTGTATGTGTGTGTATTTATTTGTAATTCCTTCACGCAAGGATGTTGAAATAAAGACGGGCATAACTTAGGAATGAATGAAGTACCAGCAAATGTCAGAGGTTTTTTTATGGGGTAGGCAGAGGTGCACATTATGCCTCTGTACAATATAACACCCACTTTTCACTGTTTTTGTTATGAGTCCCGTGTAATAGGGGGTGAGAC